GCTAAAATTTGTTTCCTCATCATTACTCTGCCCTTTTTTAAAAGTTTTATTCCCTTCTCCTAGATATTTAAAAAGAAATGTGTTTTAGAGGGATTTTTCCTCATTAAATGTCAACAAAAGATGATGCTTTGACATGGTGAAATAAAACATTTAATTTTTATACCAGTTCCATCAGCTTTTTTGCCTAAATTAAATAATAATTCCACTTTATAAACATGATTAGTGTGATTGTTCTAAATATTTTTTTCAGATGGTTTACAGTTTCTTTTTAAAAAAATTTCAGACATAAATAGATATTTCTAAAGGAATCATTTGGGGGACTTTAAGTTATAAGAGTTTCAGAGAAAGGATTTTATTTTTATAATGCATCATTTGCCTCTATGATGCCATTGAAACAATGAATAATAATTACAAAATCTAAGAAATAAGAAAAAACATTTTCTTCTTTTCTGAATACCATAATATATTTAGCCTCCAGATATACTAAAAAAATGACATCAAGGGCAACTAACGTTATTAATCAAAGTGACATTTGAATAAATGGCTTTGACTTTATACACAAGGACAATATAGATGATCTGCAGATATCAGTTGTTTATCACACTGCAGTATTTTGTTTAATGCCATTACCTTGCCACTGATTCACTGGATGCAAACTGCTTGTCGTTCCAAGGCTTATTCTAGTGGCAAAATACGGAACAAGAACCTTATGAATATGCAGAGTCTTTCCCCATGGCGCTATAACTGAGGTCTATTTATGGCTGTGATTTATGAGGCTTATGAGCACAGCTAGAATTTTAGTTCAACATTAACATTCCTTCTATGCATGACATGACAGTTTATAGTTCACAGCATCTCTGCACTACATTTACTGGTAAATAGAATTTTTTATTTTTTTTTTTTAATCCATTCATTTAAGATAAAAATCATCTTTCTAAACCTGTAAGCTTAGTTCTCATATGCAATTGGGTTAGGGGGAGGGAGAAGCAGAGATCATGGGGAGGGAACTCACTGAAACCTATCCCTGGAAGACATACAAAGTTTTCTGATCCCCATCCAATCAAGGAGTAGGTTCCTGAGTCCAGCTGCAATGGTCCCCTCTGTCAGGAAGGAGTGAAAATACAATAACTGAATCCAGGTAAAGTTGTTATTTCTGTGCCTTATGCTTGGTACACCTCTCCAGTCCTCTCCCAGCTGCAACCTTAGCACACATAAGCAGGTTTGCATCTTGGCTGCAGTGACAGTTTCTATGAATATCTGCATCACCCAGAGCATGTGGACCTCCTGTGACTGATGACTACCACAGCCAGCAGGAGAGTCAGTGTTTGCCCACAGCTGAGGGGGAAGAAAACGGGCACAGGAAACACTGAGCTGCAGCTTTGAGAGTCATAGGAGAAGGAGAATAAGGCAGGATGTCACATATGTAAAGACTGGAGTTTGATACCTTAACAGGAGTGAGTGCATTAAGCACTTAGTTTGGCCTTTTGGGTTGGGGCTTTCAATTCTTCAATGTAGAAAAGCATTTTCTACAGCTAGGAATAAGATTTAAGCAGGGAACAGAGAAGTTTCTGGGGGCATTCAGATCTCAAGTGGCAGGTTTGGTTCTCCCATTCCTTCTCTGGTGTAAGTTTATTACAAAATATATATTTAGAAGAAAATATTATTTTTTCCCAGGCCACATTTGTAGGGCCATTGTTATTATTTTTAATATTAAGCTTAATTTTACCCTGATATTTTTTTGGGACTTTTCTCCTCTTCATTAGTATTGTAATTTCTCTCTTTCTATGAAACAGCTTTGGAGTTTGTCATTCAGAATAGTTTCTTTTGAAAATTTTACTCCAAGGACCTCAGGCACTAAACTGTCTGCTTTTCCTACTTTCATCTCAAGGCACATTGACTGGCTTTCAGGCTTCATTACAGGTCTTTATTTTACTAAACTTTCATGGCAAATGGCTTTTTGACTGTAGCATCTGAAGCAGACCTTCCTTGACCCTTTCTTAACTTGTCATTACTGCAAGGCTGTTTGGTCTAAATGCAAGGTACTTGTTGCCTTTCAAAAAGAGTTAGAGGCTGTATTTAGTCCATGTAATTTGAGGACTCACTGCACCTCACAAAAGCCAAAAGCAGAAGTCAGAATGTTCATTAACCTAATCCTCACTTGGTTCTCTTAAAAGTGTTATGAGGGATTTAAAATTAAGCACTAATCAGGTGGCCAAGTGACCTCCTCATAGCTGTCTGTTTATAACCACAGTAAGCAGATATATCCCAGAGAAATAAAATTGTGACTGTCCAGTTGAAATAATCTGTCCTCTGTAAATAGAAGCAGAGGTAGAATATCCAGGTTTTTTATACTGTAACAGTCAATAACTTCAATAATTTGGGACATCCAGACAGACATCAGAAACTTCACTAAGCCACAGGCTTTTTCATCATAAACTCCTCACCTGCAATGGAATTTTAGGGCTTTACTCATGTCACCCCAAAGATGCTTGAAATTTTGTATAATTCAGCTTTTCAGGGTGGGTGAAGTTAAGAGGCGTGAATGAAAGGAAACTTCAAAAACAGTTTGAATGGAAAATCCATGCTTATCTCTGGCAGAATATAGTCATATTTCTACACTTACACTGATGTGCAGCTAATAATATCTTCTTCTTAAGGAATCATTGCTCACATTAGAAAATTAATATGAAGTCTAGGCTGGAAGAGTGATTTTGAAAATAAAATTGTATTGAGAGGTTAAGAAATCATTGATCATTGATTTCATGCTTGTATAACTGTAAAAACAGAAGAAATTTTATTAAATATAATTTTATGAGTGTGCATAGCAGAAATAAGCCTCCTGCTTAGTCTTAATGGCTTCTGACTCATTACAAGTAAATAATTATTACAGAGAGTGTTAAATGTTGGTTCAAAGAAGCAGAGAGGAGGGCCCCCAATTGTCACTTTCCTTGCTTTTATCCTTAAAATATCAGGTTCTTCCTTACTTATTGTGGATTCATGCTGCTGGAAATCATGAATAGAGCCAGCAAATAACTTGATCCTAACTAATATTTGTAATTGCACAGAAAATAATGGTTTCTTCTTTCTAAAATATGTCACATTTATATTTTTCTCTATACTACTTTTCTTTAAATATGGTGTTTAAATATCAAGGTCTCTGCACAGAGATCTGTTGAAACACAGAATTTTTTATTCTTAGAAAATTAAAACCCCACAATGATAAATTGTACCTTATGATTGTGTAGCTCTGGTCCCATCTGTTCTGTGAAAAGGAGAGGCATCTGACCTTCAATTCATTCTCCCTCCTTTTTTTCCTATTTCCCATTCTTTTTTTTCTCCTTCTCTGGTTTGGCTTTTGCTTAGGGGAGTGCTTGTCGGGAGCTGTCACCTGGTGCTGCCCCCACTGCCACTGAAGTCTTCAAACACAATCAGCTAATGAGAGAGAGTGCCACGAGGAGAGGAGAGACATGTTAATTTAGGGATTCCTTCACAGTGTTAGAGGAGACAAGAGAGTGTGTATGGAGGACTAGAAGAAAAGCCTGAGCACTGTGATGCCCTGGTGCTCCCTTCTCTGCTGCTTTACTCCTAGCACGATGGCCAAAGTGAGTCAGCTCCTGAAGGCATAGTCATAATACCCACAGGCATTACCAGGAAGCAATACTCATTAAAAATAGACATTCCTCAATTAACAGTGTTAAAAGTAATTGGTAATAATAGCTTTAGAGAAAAAGAAAAAAAAATGTAGCAATGTAACTTCATAATATGAATAGAGGTTGCCACATTCTCTATTATCAGCCAGGCAAGTTAGTATCCAAACAGGAGGACCCAAGGGTAGAACTATTCCAGAAGCAATTCTTTATCCTTAAGGAGATAATAAAGATGTACCTTTTCAACAACTATCATTAAATAAGCAATCAGCTGGGATATTCCTTCATTGCAGAAGAGAGCTGCCTCGTGCAACTATCAGTTCTTGAAAGATGCAGCAATTTGTGACTAGCAACAGGGACCCAAGGTTCAGAAGCATATCTGAGAATATTTTTAGCTTTCACACTAATAGCTAAATGTTTTGGACAAGTGGAAAGTAAGACAATGTGCCAAGTCAAGTCCTGCAAGTGAATCACAGCAGTCTTCATCTGTCAAACACAAAACAAACAAACAAAACAAAACAAAAAAAAAAAAACAAAAACAAAAAAGAAGAAGCAAAAACACAAAAAGAACCCCACAAATAAAATAAAAAAACAAGAAAGCAATAAGTTAATATACAAAAAAAAAATACTGCAAAGAAGCAGAAAAGTATATTAAAAGGGCAGATGTGCAGATATGGTGCTAAAAATCCTGATGAAAGAACAAGGTTAGATACTCCTCTATCTCAGTACACAACCAGTAGTGGTAAACATGTATTCGTATCTTCCTTGAAATAAGGCATCCTGAACTGATGACCGTAACTGATAAGAGATATTAAACACAAATTAGAGCAATCATATTGTAATCTATCAGAGAAACAAGCAGGAACTGAAGAATTGGACTGTGCATGGAGGATATTAAGGCAGCACAAAATGGCAAGGAATGAAATTATTTGGAAAGCTCAAGGAGGCAGCAGATGCAGAGACACAGCAGCACACAACTTATTGTGTGGCTTGCCAAAGAGACAGCAGGATACTGGTGAATGCACCAACTACAGAGAGTTCTGGCACTGTGGAAAAGGAAAAAAACCTAAACCAAACCAAACCAACAAAAACTAAATCCCAAACAAATTTAAATTACATAGACAAAAGAAAACTAGGAAAATATGAATTGCAAGTACATAATCAAGCAAAAATACCTAGGTTTAAACTTCACAAGTTCCATAGCCTTCAGTTAAATTACCAGTGAATACATGAACCTAAAAACACTGGGAATGTGATAAGAAAATTTCTATGAATAGGCACAAGAGCTAATTTAACATTTTTTATTTTAAAGCCAAATAATGACAGTATGCCTTCAACAGCACTGTGAAGTACCTGTTGGGTACTGCAGTCCCTGTCTCAGAGAGCAGCAGGTGTGTGGTGGCTCCTAGGGCACAGACTGGCAGATCCTTCAGGTCTTACTCTGGTTGCTTCTAATTGCAGGAGCCTCCACTTGGTGATTCAGGGTCTTGGTTCTTAATTTTGTTTGTATAAATTCAGAAAGAAAAGGAAAGAAAAGAATCAAAGAAAGCAAGAGACAACGCTGAGGTCAGAGTTCCCAGAATCTGGGAGTAAGTAGTGCAGCAATTATTCAGATGCACAAGTCCAAATTGTTTAAACAAAGCAGTGGTTAAATGTTACTACACAGAAAATACAAAGAAAGATGGAAAATTATACTTCAGTACTTCAGTACAAAAAGACTGATTTGGACAAGTTATATTGTGTGAGAAATCCAATTGCCTTGCTACAATTTGAACATTACTGTTGCTCAGAGGAAAAAAATTTGTGAGAAACAGTATTGGCAATGCTCCTAAATAAAGTCATATCTGTATTACAAGTCAGTGGGTGTTCTGCTGGCTTTAGGAAATACTCATGGAGACACATGACAAAACCATTCCATATAAGGACTACAGTGGGCCAAACCTTCCAAAAGAAACCAGGAAGTTAAATCTAAAGTAAAATTAAAGGTGGAATTGTATTTAACTGAAATATCATATTAAGTAAACTTGTTAATCTCCTGCTATAACATGATTCTAAAAAAACCCAAGCAACATCAGCACAAAGTAGTGGACACATGTGCCTAAAAATGTGAAAGAAATTCAGGAATACTTTTTTTCAGTTGCATGCAAATGTTTTGAGGAATGTAGCAGACGTGTGCAAGAGCTGTAGTTGCCTCAGCCAAACTCTGTTAACTCTAACTGGGATGATTTAAAAAAAAAAAAGTAAATTGAACAATATCTTTATTTATCTTTCTTGACATAAATGCATATTCTCCATTCTGATCATACGTGTTTTTTCTCTATTTCTTTCCACAGGAAAATATCTGATGAAATCAACAAGTTTATAAATTCACATAACCTCAGGGAAAATTTGCTGTCAAATGCATTCCTGTTGAAACAACTCTTAACAGACTTGAGGACACGAGTAAGAGCTGACAATTGTTGCACAGAGCAGATACAACTTCTTTAGTAAAGTCTGCTATTAAGGTTTCTGAGAACCTGGAAAACTCCAATGCAAAACCACAGTGACCATTTTAGACCCAGCAATGAAAGGCTTCAGGCACAGAGTGCCCAGCTGCATAGTTTTGGTTTGCAAGTTTCAATTGCACCGATTCTGTGTGCATTGCTAGGAGTGAAACTCCAGCAGCGTTGCAGCAAACAATAGGCAGCCTAATGGCCACACTCAACAGTATCAAACCTCAGCAAGGAGGATTATGTTAAAAAAAATTAAAGAAAGCATATGCTCAGCCATTCCCTGATGAAATAAAGCTCTCAGCCATGCTCTTAACTTCTGTACAATGCTGGATGTCAAATTTTTTGTCTGCCTTGCTGTTACAGAGTTTTGCTTTACTACAGCTGGGTGTAACAAAAAGAGATGCTGAAAAGCCAAAATCAGTGTGTGCAAACCTGATAAAATTATAGGGATTTTGGTGGGGTTTTTTTTAGGATAAACAATATATTTGGAATGAAACAGTATATTAAACAAATAAAAGCTGCACAGTTATTCATGTATCATGGCAGAGGACTTTTATATGTCTTATAAAAAGCAGTATTTACAAGTCCCTGACAGAAGACACAAATGCAGAGTGGGAAGTACTCATTTGTCTGAGACTGAGTGCAGGATGGGCAGTAACACAGCCCATCCCAGCATGTCATCAGCCAGACAACCTGTACAAACCAAGAGGTGTTTAATCCTTCCTGAATGGCAGGCTGAGAATTATGCCTGAGTAATTATGCCTTGGGCACAGAAGAAGAGCCTTGAGAAAAAGAAAACTTAATTTACAACCTAATCATGATTTAATTACTGTTAAAATATAGAAAGAGATAGTGAGAGAGAGAAAAGGACATTTACTTCAGGTTTGTTTTTTCAGTGATAAAACTTCTGAGCATAGTCTAGCTTGCTACATATATTAGAAAGTTATTAAATACATTATGATGTTATTCATGTTAAAATAGACTGCTTCAAGCTAGATGTATTTTGCTTCCCGTCTAGAAATAAAGTTTCAAAGTAAACTTTAGGCAATGGTGTGACCTTTGCAATATAACATTAACAAACTAATGGTAAAAAGTGTTTCCAAGAGGCTGTGAGGTTAGTTTGGAGAATATTCTGCTGGGCAGAGAGTATCGAGTCTTGCATTTCTGGATGAGGAAAGTAGAGGGAATGAGAATTTCCTCCCATAAACATCTCACCTTCCACATCAGGTTCAGTAGGAATGCTGCAGGACTGATCAGATCAAGAGCTCTTCTTGTGACAGCAAGCACCAGTGTTGAATTCTGTTCCCAATACTCATAAACAACACTTAGTCTCTTACTGGAATGGAAAGAGTAAGTGTTTCTACAGAGCACTTCAGTGACTCTGGTCCTACTTATCTGCAGTAAACTCAGGATCAGCAAAAGGCCTCTATGAATATATGATAGGCATTCAGTCCCACGTGTCTTGTCTAAGACACAAGCTCCATTCACAGCATCACCCCAGCACACCTCTGTCACTTCCAGCCAGTAATGTGGATATATCTGCACACATCTGCATGGACAAGTTACAAAGAAAATAAACAAGGGAAAGAACTGATGCAGAATTCAAATACCCTCTTTACCTCTTATACAGTATACAGTATATACAGTATACCTCTTATACAGTAGCATTGGTAATAAAACAAGAGAGCTTGTTACTAGACATTAATTTCTTTCTACAGGGCATCACAGACTGGCTGCTTCAGCCTCTTACAGTCTGTCTTGCATTTCTGAGCAATTCCAAAGACACAGACTAGCCCTGGGGATCTGTCCCAGCTCATGGCAACTCTGAACATCAGCAAGCTCTCTTGCACAGTCTGCTACAAAATACAGTGTGGTGCTCAGTGTAAGAGCACACAGAAATAACATGTAGGCAAGTGGAAAAGGGAAGCAAGGACAAAGTATTTATGCTACTGGTTAGAAGACTCAGGTGCATTACCTGCCTAGTTCCTTTTTCTATAAACATGAAAGATTTATTTGGGAAGGTCTTGAATTGAAGAAGTCGAAAGAACAAGAGTTGAATCTTTATTCATGTCTTGTGCTGTGCCATTCCACTTACTCTGAAAAGTACACTGTAGCCAAAAATAATGCTACTCATCATTGTTTTATGTCATCTTTATCCACAAGATAAACAGGCAAGAAATCAGGACAGATTGTGTTTTAATGCTGAACAAAGTACCAACTCTGATTCAAATCAAAAAGAATACTTACTTTAATTCACAGAGTTAAAGTAAGTAATGTTATTTTGTTCTTTGTTCCCACAGACAGAAAATTCAGTAATGTGCTTTGTAGCAGTAGCAAAGAACTCTAAATTTTGTTTCTGTATGTGCATGTGTTTATAATAATTCTGTAATTGCTATGTAAAGTTCTGTAAACTTTTCAACATAACATCAACCTGTTTCCTTCCCAGGCCCAGATAAAAAAGATTGCCCCTTTTTTATTCAAAAAATAAAAAAGGTAATACAGAAAAAGGGCTTTAACTAAACTAGACTATATTTAGTGTGAAAGATACAGTTAAGATAGTAGGAAAGAATATTTTCTATGTGCTAACAATCTCTGCCAGATACTAGGTATTGCTGCAGTCATATTCTTGAACTAGATATACTAATGATTTTCCCTGTCTCAAGTCTTGCTGAAATTCAGTGCTCATTTTGCAGAAGATTTTGGTTTATTTGAAGTGTCAGATTTTCATGTATCTTCTGGCAAGGATCAATAGTTACCATCCTCCTTTCCACGTTAAAGCTCTAAAGCAAGTAGGCTGTTCTTCACAGCTCAGGATGCAGCATGGCACAGTAATAAAACCTGCCATATTGACACAAGTACAATAGAAAGAAAAATATGATATAAAATATTGTACTTAAAATTTGGAACAATTCCTATGGGTTTCTAAAAGTGTACATGGTACTTGCAGAAAAAGTGAGCAGCAGTGTGAAAAAACATGAAAAAACAAAAGATGTTAAAGCCTGAGACACATTGAAAGTTACTTTCTTTGTGGTTTACTTTTTCTTTTTAGAAGAAAAAAATACAGGTTATATCTTTCTATGTTCTTAAAAATAGAGCAGAATGTTCTTTTGCAAGGCATATATGGCAGTATTTTTCTCTGTTGGATGTCTAGATTTAAACTGAGTATCAGACATGCTTCTCAAACTGCTTATTATATAGATTTGTCCTTTGAAAGTGGAAAGAAAGTCAAAATAACAGTATCAGTCTTCAACCTTAGTGAAAAATGATGTTCCAGGAAACTGTGCTGCATGGTAGGCAGCCCATTTGTCTGGAGATGAGTGAAGAGGGTTGATGATCTTCAGGAAAATGAGTCCTCCAAAGGTCTCCCTTGGAGAGTGTTTAACCACTGGCCCGAAGGCAGGATGAAGCAGCACCTTGCACCCTGGGATCTGGTCAGCACCGTGGAATTTTGTCCCTATGCCTCAGCTTGATCAGCCACATTTCTCTATTTTTGTTTTCTGATGCACTTCCTGCTTTGTCTTTAATCTTTTTATAGGTTAGGTAGGATGTGTCCTGCACACCACTGATGGTCATGACTAAAATATAAAGATGTGCATGTGAGTGCAGGGATTTGGTTTGTGGAAAGACATGTCCTTCATGTGTTTTCTCTCACTCTGTACTCCTCCTTCTGGGGATGTGATAGGTCTGACAGGCTCTTCAAAGCACAGGAAGCATCACTGCTTATTAGCCATTAGATAATTACCCAACTGGACCTGAGCTAATTCCGAATGGAGCCCTTGTGTGGTCTTTGCCTATGACATGACTGAGCTCCAGCCAGGCTGCACCAAAAGTGAGTTGACTGCAGTTACTTAGTGCTTCCTTGCACCACCCCTGGCTTCCTGCAGACCCCATTTCTAAATATGTGTGAGCTGCCTGATCAGCTGGATCAAACCCAGCCAGGGTGCAAAGGGCCAAGGCCCTCTGAAGAATAGTTACAGACTAACTAACAACACTGTAGATTTCCCCAACATATTGAACAAGATTTCTATGACCTAAGCTGAAATCTCACAGATTTACTGGATTCTCACACATTTGGTCAGTCACCTGTCTATGGACACCTGGGGTTTATGTGGTAAAGGATAGGAACAACACCCTTATACTTATTAGTAATGGCCCACTAATTTCTAGACTGAGAGAAGCACCTCCACTGACAGCCATGAAACTGGGGTCATTT